CTATGTAGGCCTACCGGTATTATAGGGTCTAATTTTTAAAAAAGAGTCTAGCTTACATTAATGCTTGCAGTGTAGATGTCTTATCATGTCTAATCAATTGAGACACCGACCTAAATCTAGCTACAATCCTACCCATATTGTTCTAGTTCTTCTAGAGTGAGTGCTGCCAAACATCTAGAAAAGCAGCAGTCCCTGTGTAAGTGTAAACTATGGGGAACACTCTTTCTGCCGTCTTCCGCTTTTATCTACGCCTCTACGTTCCCCTACTGTGACAACGTCAACTACAATTCATTGCCTGTAGTAAAGGTGTCAAGGTCTCTACCGTGTACACGTGAAAATGTACTCATGACCCGTCACACGCAAAAAGACTCACTGTGACCTTGAACCCTGGCTCGAATCACCTAACCGAGCTCTTCTGTAAGAAGAGTGAGAAATTTCAACACATAGATGAGCAATAGCCCAGATTCTGTTCCGCATTTGCTTTGACTAACAGGAAGTCCGACAACAAAACGGAAATTCGGCCACAATCGCCCTTGGCAGGCAAGAAGAAATTTCATGATAACGTACGGTTATTCTTTCTTGCTTGGTTAGTTTAGTGTTTGTTTGTTATTCGTTATTCGCATTTTAAGGATGGCCTTCGAATATTTTCTGCTGAAACAGAGACTTTTAATTTCAAAACAAATAATTTGAACGAGCCTACCATAGGCATGATAATTGATATTATCAGCACTTTCCTTTCGATGCGATTTTTTCAGGATTAAAAATGATTTACTGAGGTACCCTACTGTACAAGATGTAAAGCTGTTGGAACAAGAGGTTTTGTTTCTGATCGGAACTTTTATGAATTTGTTCCAGAAGCGATATTAGTCTATTTGTTGAATCTCACGCTGTATTTACCTCTCACTTCCATAGTTTCAATACTCCGTCTTTTGGCCGCACTTTGGGTTCTATTAATTTGGAAGGACCTGCTTCAGATTTTTTTAAAAGACCACTATATCAGCCCAAAGTAGCATTTGGAAGCTTAGATCTAGAAAATCTACTTATAAAAGTAAAAGCAACTTTGTGAGTTTTGGAAACAAGAAAGAATTAAAAAGTCCAACATCTGTTCAAGCGTTCTCTGCATTCAGGCTACCATCGAATATGGTATTGTGACCCCAGGCACTGGGCCTCCGAAGTCTCTGGTGTTTGGTCTCCATTGTATAAATGGCTATGGCGGACAAGTCGTGCGTTGTCTGGTTGATCTCTCGAACGATGTTTTAGTTCCATCTATTGGTCTAGATTAGCAAAACCTGAAAAGTAAATCACGACCAAAAACAATTGGGAAAACGCAAGAAAACACAGAGGACTTTACCAACAACTGGTGATGTTTTAAATCTGTAGTTTGGCTTTTCTCAAAAGTTGTTGCAATTGCAAGTAAATCTAGTTTGTGCTTGTTGGTCTGTCTCCGTTAACTTTGTAGTTCAGATCGTAGTCGTAAGTTTGTTGTTGTTTTATTCCAACACACAACAATGGCACGCCTACACCACACCATCACCAAGCCTAGATCTAGATCTAGATTCTAGTCTACGTAGACTACAGTAAGGTAAAGTACAGGGCAGGGCGATTGTTAAGATTCCCGCGTTTAATTCCGATGTGCGTTTTTCATACCCTCAGGCATATTTCGCTTGAAAGTGGCTATTCTCACCCGCCCGAAAGTTCTCGCAAGATCAACTCCTCCCCTTTTCTCTCTCTCTCTGTCTCTTTCTGAATACTGTCTATCGGTGTGGACGATCAAATTGACCAAAACAAAGTTAAAAAATGATGTTAAAACACAAAAGTAAATTAATTTGGTTGTCTACAAAGATGCTACAGCTATTTAACTTTTCGAATCGAGCCGAACTACGCGGGTTGCCATTTTGTTTTGCCCGGAAATTCTCGCGCTACTCCTCTCTCTCTTTCTCTCTCTCTCTCTCCACTGCCCACAGACAAAATTGTACGCTTTTAGTTTTAGTAGGCTACAGTTGTAATGGAACGTTTGTTCACGGCACAGAATTCTACAATTTTTCCTCACAGTGTAGAATTCTGTGGTTTAGGGTGAACGCAAAATTTGGTGAACGCGCACCGGGTGAGAATAGCCACAAGACTCGCCTGCACTATTCTCACTCCGGGTGAGAATAGAGGTGGCCATTTCGCTTTGGTCCTAGGGTTAGGGTTAGGGTTAAGGTTAGAACTTAGGGTTAGGGTTAGGGCCAGGGTTATGGTTAGGGTTAAGTCGAAGTAGGCAGTTTAGTGAAAATTTCAAATTTGTCTGATATGCTTTGAAATACTTTCATTTGAAAGCTCTTGCCTTCATGATCATAAAACAAAAATGAATTTTGTTGATATCTTTATTAGTTAAAAAGTTATGGCAATTTTTCATGCCTAAAATCCGGCCATTTTCAAGCCACTTTTAACACTGAGTTTTTGTGACACAAAAATGCAACTTTACAACACAAATGACCATTACTCAACACAAAATGTATATTTTTTAAAGTGTTGTACATCAGTTTGTTGAGAATTTTACACAGAATGCACACAACTACAAAACCCCTCTTTACAAAGTCACAGAAATATTTTTTGGGTACTTCTAGAGGTTCAGGGTGATAAAAAACCCCCGCAAGGATAACCCGAAATGGACAAAATGGGCTATATCTTTGCCGCTAATTGTCATATTTAGACAAATCATACATCATTCTCTTTGTCTTTTTTCACTGTTCATAATTATTAAAGAGTTAAGCCAATTAAGTAATAATTTCCAATTTTTATGACCATTCTTAAGTTTTCAAAACGTATTTTTAGTGTTTTCCTAATGGCCACCTCTATTCTCACCCGGGGTGAGAATAGTGCAGGCGAGTCTTTTGGCTATTCTCACCCGGTGCGCGTTCACCGTTATAGCCTAGATCTAGGCCAACAAATTTTGCGTTCACCCTAAACCACAGAATTCTACACTGTGATAACAGAAAAATTGTAGAATTCTGTGCCGTGAACAAACGTTCCATTACAACTGTAGCCTACTAAAAGCGTACAATTTTGTCTGTGGGCAGTGGAGAGAGAGAGAGAAAGAGAGAGAGAACAAAACAAAATGGCGACCCGCGTAGTTCGGCTCGATTCGAAAAGTTAGATAGCCGTAGCATCTTTGTAGACAACCAAATTAATTTACTTTTGTGTTTTAACAAAAAATTTTAACTTTGTTTTGATCAATTTGATCGTCCACACCGATAGACAGTATTCAGAAAGAGACAGAGAGAGAGAGAAGAGGGGAGGAGTAGATCTTGCGAGAACTTCCGGGCGGGTGAGAATAGCCACTTCCTTTCCTAATCGTTAAAGGGATTCCGTAAAAAAAAACCCCAACCTCTTAATGACCACCATAAGTCAGATCCCTATCCTTCTTTTACAAAGTATTGTAACATACATTTGTGTGAAGCTATATTTTATGCTTTCAAGTGCATAAAAGAGCTTATAAATTCAAGAAAAATGCTCTTCGGAGACCTAGTTGCAGACCCACTGGAACTTTTAATAAACTGCAGAAAGATGGCTTTTTGTATGCATTTTTACGGGAAGCGCCGTAGCGTTGTGTGAAGTTCAACCTGAACAACTCGGGTGTCAAAAGAAACTAGAAAGGATAATTTATAACTTCTGAAAGATTCATAAATATACAGCCTATAGTTTTCATTTTATCGCGTTGTAAAAACTGCCTTGTTTTCAGATGCAAATATTTCCAGTTCTACTGAACCGATTTTCACGCGAAGACCGCCATTTTGAAGACCTTTCTTTTCTGTTTAAAAAGATGTATCGGGAGTGGTAGTGCAATTCGCAAAACGAAACAAAACTGTGAGTTGTTTAGACCCACCGTAGCGCGAGGCTTCACGGCCGGTCACAAAAATCTACGGGGCGTACCGCGGCCGATTCGCCCTGCCGCGAGCGCGTTCACTAAACTGCCTAGGTTAAGGTTAGGGACCAAAGCGAAATATGCCTGAGGGTATGAAAAACGCACATTGGAATTAAACGCGGGAATCTTAACAATCGCCCAGGGCTGTAGTAGATCTAATTTTTAAATCATAATTCTAGACCTAGAAATCTAGAATGTAGTAGCAGCTCAGTAGTAGAGAAGTTGAAGCCCTTCAGTACCAGAGACAGAGACTCTTCAGATCTTTATTTTGGCTTGGGAAGTGGCTATCCTCATCCGGGGTGAGAATAAAAATACGATCTACCTCTCGCCTCGGGTGAGACTTGCCAGTGTTGGCTATTCTCACCCTATGTGAAACAAGACCTGTTTTTTGGGAGTGTACCAGTAACCGGGAAGAAACATGAAAGTGGCTATTCTCACCCGCCCGGAAGTTCTCGCAAGATCTACTCCTCCCCTCTTCTCTCTCTCTCTGTCTCTTTCTGAATACTGTCTATCGGTGTGGACGATCAAATTGACCAAAACAAAGTTAAAAAATGATGTTAAAACACAAAAGTAAATTAATTTGGTTGTCTACAAAGATGCTACGGCTATTTAACTTTTCGAATCGAGCCGAACTACGCGGGTCGCCATTTTGTTTTGTTCTCTCTCTTTCTCTCTCTCACTCTCTCTCTCTCCACTGCCCACAGACAAAATTGTACGCTTTTAGTAGGCTACAGTTGTAATGGAACGTTTGTTCACGGCACAGAATTCTACAATTTTTCTGTTATCACAGTGTAGAATTCTGTGGTTTAGGGTGAACGCAAAATTTGTTGGCCTAGATCTAGGCTATAACGGTGAACGCGCACCGGGTGAGAATAGCCAAAAGACTCGCCTGCACTATTCTCACCCCGGGTGAGAATAGAGGTGGCCAACCGGGAACAAAGTCACGAAGTATACAGACCCGGTAGGGGAACTCTTTGTGATTTCGGAAAGTTTCAGCGCTCTCTTGGCTCAGGGTGGACCTAGGTTCTTCTAGATATCTATATGGCCAATGTCTAGATCTATACAGACAGACATAATAAATCATTGATCTAGTTTTGAGGCCTAGATCTAAATGAAAATTGCGGATGTCTTTTCTATGAACGATCGTTTTTCCTCCGTTTTGGAGTTGAAGGAATCACAATTTGAAGAAAAGAACAATGTCTTAGATCTGATTTCAGTCAAGCAGTCACCGCCCTCTCCATTTCTATGCCTCTCTCCCCTCTTTTTCTGCCTGCCCCTCTTTTTCTGCCTTCCCCTCTCTCTCTCTCTCTCTCTCTCTCTCTCTCTCTCTCTCTCTCTCTCTCTCTCTCTCTCTCTCTCTCTCTCTCTCTCTCTCTCCCCTCCCCCCCCCCTCTTCTCTCTCGCCCTCGCTGCCTACAGACAAAATTGCACGCTTTCAACACTAGAGCGCTGGAACGTTTGTTCACGGCCACAGAATTCTACTTCTACACTTCTGTTATCACAGTGGTTCACGGTGAACGCTACACTGATTGGCTGAGGCTATCCTGGTGAAGGCACACTGGGTGAGAATAGGGGTGGCCTTTTTTTTAGTTGTTCTCATAGTTCCCCAACGGCCTCTAAGGTGTGGGGTCTTAAATGTGTAGGGAAAGACTTATAAATTTTAAGTTAAAGTAAAGACAGGACATGATCTAGATCTAGAATGATAAAATTAAAAGATTGACGATTTGAAACAGAATGCTGGCTCTGCTACCCAGCACTGGCAGATTGTTCATGTTCAATGATTAATCCCCCCGTGACATTAGATCTTTTTTTTGACATTGAAGATCAAAGTGCTGCCCTACACTACTGTGAAAATGAGGATGAAATAGATCTAATCTAGATAGACTGGATTCAGTGCATGCTATTTAAGTATCTGATAATGTTACAAAAAGTTACAAGACAGAATTCAGTATTTTAGAAATGTTCGCAGTGTGGTGAAATCAGGCGCTCGGCAAAATAATGAAAGAGAAGAAACTGGCATTTTTCCACAGGTTCGCCAATTTTGATCAAATATTTGTTTTTCGGTTCAACACCTTTTTGGCCCATTAAAAACATATTTCAGTGTGGATTTTACCGAAAAAAGTTGATTAAAGGCATAAATAGAATACATTTTCAGTTTTCACTCTCTCTCAAGCGAAAGAAATTACTAAACTTTGGCGACCCTATTTTCTTGTATTTTACCTCTGAATCCAGGTGACCCCACCTTCTTCAATCACCGATATAATCTCGATTTGTACCTAGATAAATGGATATTTTTTTTTTTATTGAAAGCGAGGCAAATTGGCAGGCTTAAAGATAATACCAATAACTCCATGCCCAAAACTGACGAGTGCCTGATTCCACGGCTTTGTGACACATATATATATATATATATTATAATATTTGTGTGTGAAAGATAATAGATCTAGGCTGACTGGTGTAATCTTCAAAGGGCGATCTTCAAATGTGATCTGGTGATCCAATCTGTCATATTTGATTCACAACCCAGAGTAAAGATCATTTTGACCTGGACTCAAGTTTGTGTAACATTTTCTACTTTAAAACTGTAACTTGACTCATGATCCTTGTTGATATGTGTGATATACACACTTACAAACAATCCTAACACTGTGAGCACTCTTCAGCCTCCATGAATCCTATCATGCATTGACAATTCAAAGTCTGAAGTGAACTTATTTTCAAACTGTCCTAACTGGTTTCTTTGACTATTTTTTGTTCTTCTACTATTGTGTTTGTTAATTTTTAATAGCACTGGATTTTTATCCTAGCCATCCTAGCTTGTTTTTACTTATCTAGTCTGCTTGCAGTTTTGGTTCTGCTGCAGATTTTTTTTGTGCAAAATGAAAAATGCAGAGGCCCTACAAATTTTTACTGTCGTGAAATTCAGCCACAGTCTCTTCTAAATGAAGCTTTTAAAGATTCTACTTTTTAGCTTGCCATTCATGCATTATGTATTCATAATATTGTAAAAATGATAAACTAACAAATGTTTGCTATTCTCAGGTCCTAAATATGAAATTATAATATAT